TTGACATGATCATGATGAGTTTGGATGTCGGGGAATAAATAAGGATATCATCCAGGTATAAAAGCACAAAAGAGTAAATATAGTCTCTGCGTATATCATTAATGAAGTCTTGAAATACGGCTCGAGCATTACATAACCCGAAGGGCATAACAAGATATTCGTAGTGCCCACTAATGTTAAACGGCGTCTTTCATTCATGATCCTCCCTAATTCTCACCATATTGTACACACTCCTAGGTCAAGCTTAGTGAAGATCTTAGCACTCTGGAGTCTATCAAACAATTTGGAAATAAGGGGAATAGGATAGGCATTTTTTATAGTAATCTTGTTTAATGCCCTGTAGTCTATGCAAGGTCGTAATTCTCCATCTTTCTTAGCGACAAAAAAGAACCCTGCACCAGCAGGCGAGGATGATTTATATATATGGCCTTTACTTAAAGATTCCTTGATGTACTCATCCATGATTTTACTTTCTTGTGGGGATAGGGCATATACTGCTCCTTTAGGAGGCATAGCCCCGGGCAACAGATCAATGGAATAATCATAAGATCTGTGTGAAGAAAGAGCATTAGTCTGGCTTTTACTAAACGCCTCTCTAACCTCCCAATGCTGTATGGGAATTTCAGAAGTCGGAGACGTGGCAGCGGGTAAAGCAACGATGCCCACTTTTTTAGAAATGGGTAACATGCAGCTTTCCCCATTCCAGTATTTCCCCTCTAGTTCAGTCAATATGAGGGTTATGCTTGGTGAGCCAAGGGAACCCTAATACGATGGGACAAGAAGGGGAATCGATTATCTGGAAGGTAATGTCTTCCTTATGCAAAGCTCCTATCGCAATGCAAATAGGCAAGGTCTCATGGGAAATAAGAGGTTGAGATAGGGGTCTCCCATTAATAGCCTCAACCGCTAGAGGTGATCTCTTCTTGACTGGTATAGTGTGTTTTTTTTAACAAAATACAAATCAACCGCACCTGAGTCAACCAGGGCTTTGCATGAAAAGTTTTCCTTGTTGCAAAAGGCGGAAATGTCAAGGAGAAATCTGCTTCAGGAATTACTAGAGGACGTATCCATTACACCTAAGACCTGTCCCCTTAACCCCTTAAGGACCAAACTTCTGGAATAAAAGGAAATCATGACGTCACACATGTCATGTGTCCTTAAGGGGTTAAAGGATCACTATAGTGTCAGGAAAACAAAGCGGTTTTCTTGACTTTATAGTGCCCTGAGGGTGCCCTCATCCTCAGGGTCCACCTCCTGTGGCGCTTAAGGGGTTAAAAGCTCTCCCGTCCGACGTCAGCGGAGCCGTATGCGCTTGCGCGGCAAGTGCCGTGCGCATTCAAAGTGTTCTGTGTGATGGAGGCGAAATATGCCTCCAGCGTCGCAAATGCACCTCTAGTGGCTGTCCGTGAGACAGCCCTTAGAGGCTGGATTAACCCCAAATGCAAACATAGCAGTTTCTCTGAAACCGCTATGTTTGCATCTGAATGGTTAAAACCTGGGGGACCTGGCACCCAGACCACTTCATTGAGCTGAAGTGGTCGGGGTGACTATAGTGTCCCTTTAAGGTTCTTAGGTGCGTAAGTTTTCCGGACATATAGGACAAGCATCTCTCATATGCCCTTTCTTGCCACAATATAAGCACAGACTCTCTCTTCTCCTATACTGTTTCTCTGCCTCTGACAGTCCTGTAACCCCTAACTGCATCGGTTCAGGTTCAGATCGCATCGAGAGGTCAGGGACAACAAGTTTGGAGAATCGAGGTGCTAGTGACATAGTCAAAAGTCTAGTTCTGTTTTACTAATTTCCTTGGTCCTGAGTCTATTATTGATCTGCATCACATAGGTAATAAAGTCATTTAACCTCTTAGGTAGGTCTTTGGCAGCAATTTCATCAAATATAACTTTGGATAATCCTTTTTTAAAAGCAGTGATTAATCGGTTGTTAGTCCAGTCTACCTCAGATGCCAAGGTACAAAATTATATGGCATAATCCGAGATAGACCGGTTCCCTTGTTTGATATGCATTAGAGCAGTGGAGGTGTCTTCCTCTCTGCCAAATGGTTCAAACATCAGTTTTGAATTCCGCCAGGAATTCCTGGTAACAATGAGCGATACACCTATTACTTTCCCACAATGGATTAGCCCAGGTTAAGGCCTTACCTTTAAGTTTGTTCATACCCAATCTTAGCTCTATCTGTAGGAAATGAACCAGGTGAGGCCTCAAAGTGGTACTCAATCTGATTGAGAAATCCCCTACATTCCTGGATATTACCAGAAAAATGTAGGGGAGGAGATAAGGAGATCGTAGGTGCCTTACATACTATAGGTGGAGGTACATTAGGCAGTGGTGACATAATTAGAGAAGCCTCAGGTTGTAAATGAGCCGTCCTAGTAAGGAGCGTGCTAAAAGCCTGGGCAAATTGATCCATACGATGATCATTCTCCTCTAGCTTTCTCTCACAAGCTGCTATGTTCTGACACAATTCTGCAGGATCTATGGCCATGTCGTAATGCGGGTCTAAAGAGGAGAGCTGGGTTTAAATACCCCTCATGTGGATCCAATTGGCTGTAACTGGTTTTTGACCCCAAAGGCAATTACCAGGTTTAAATGTGCTTGATTGCTGCTCAGCACAAAACCCTCCTGTGGATTTGATTAGCCATGACCGGCCTTTGACCCCAAAAGTAATTACCAGGTTTCCATGACAGTATTGTTGCTCTGCACAACTTTTCCTGTCAGGACAGTAATGTTGCTCAGCACAACTTTTCCTGTCAGGACGGTAAATGCCATTAACCACATTTTTATATGCAGATGACATGTGACACTTTCTCAGTCACTGAGTGAAGCTCACAGGTCTATAATTTACAGGCAATGATTTTGAAGATTTTTTAATATAGGAACCACACCTGTCTTCCTCCAATCCTCCAGTATAATTCCTGTAAAAAAAAGGAATCTTGAAAGATTAACTACAAAGGTTCACTTATTTCCACACTTAGCTCCTTAAGTAGTGAATACCATCAGGCCCTGGAGAGTTAGTTACATTAACCTTGTTTAGTCGCTGTAGCACTTTGTCCTGAGTCATTCAATAACAATTTTTCTGCATTTCTCTTGCCACAGGATTCTCCATAATATATACTGAGGAAATATAGTTATTTAACATTTTTGCCCTTTCCTGGTCTTCATTAACTAAACACTCACATCTCTGTTTTCAGCGTACACTTTCATTTTATTTATTTTTTAGAATTTATGTACTTAACCCCTTAAGGACCAAACTTCTGGAATAAAAAGGAATCATGACATGCCACACGTCATGTATCTTTAAGGGGTTAAAAACAATTGGGGGGGGGGAGGGGTTGAACGGAGCCAAGCCACGGACCTGAATGGCCGCATGCAACCGAAGCTCCGGACCAAACCACCACATTAGACCCTCTAACACGGCACAAAACCCTTACAAAGTGCACCAACCAGCACCGCTAACGAGGAGTGAAAAGATGGGCTGGAAAACTAAAAAGGCCAAGCCCAATAAACCTCGGCTGAGCGGAAATATCGGAGATCTATGGCGGCAGGCCTGCAACAACACAGGCACAAACATGGCTGACTACGCCGACGACTACTCCGAAATGTCGGACAATTTCACTAGCGGGGCTGAACTACACCACTCACCCATCTTGACAGCTCCTCTCCAGACTCACCCTCAATAGACAACTCTCCTGTGACCACAGCGGTGATGAAAGAATTGCTAGCGGGGCTTCAACTCACCATACAGGCGAACATGGCCTGACAGGCCGCCAAAACACGGAGGAGACAGTGCGGCTACGCAAAGCTGTGCACGACCTGCAACAGCTGACCCACACAACAGACCAGCGATTCGCAGAACTGGAAGATCAGAGGAGAAGCCTGAACCTCAAGATCATGGGTCTCGGTGAGGAGATACCGGAGGCAGAGGTACTGCACTTCATATTGCGCCTGCTGGACGCTCTTTTACCCACAAAACAGGCCAAACAGACGACCCTGGGGGGGGGGGGGATGTTCCACCTCCCACGTCGAGCTAAAGCCCAAGCGCCGAGACCTGGTGCACTTCCTGAGCCACGGAGACAGATCAGCGGTCCTACAAGCGACCAGAACCCAGACGCCATATGTGTTTGAGGGTAGACAGCTCTCATTCTATGTGGACCTATCAGGGCCGACTGTGGCGTGGCGCCGCAGTTTGAAACCCTTCAGGGCCCTTCTTTGTCTGCATAAAATTACCTACCACTGGAGGCGACCCTGGGCGCTCTTGATCCACCATGGCGACACTGCACACAAGGTCCACGACATGCAAGGGGCCAGGGATCTCCTGCCAACCCTTGGGCTCCAACAGGACACCCTACCCATTGCGGGACCAACCCACCCGGCGGCACGGCCAGCAACAAATGACCCACCGACAGCGACACCATTCGCCCCCCAACAGGCTGGAGCAGGAACATCGACTGGCACCAGAAGTACTTAAAGCCACCTGATGCTTACCTCTTAACAGCCCTATGATTACACGGGCATGTCGTTCGGGACTCTTCTTCTTTCTCCACTGTGCTTATCTGCAAGTAGTTTAACGTCCACCTCCCCCTCCTGGGTAATGGGGTTCACTTTAAAGAGCATGTTGTTTAACAGCCCACACACCAGAAATCATGCTCCCTAGCTACGCTAGCATGGTAACAGGACCATACCTACATCACTATGTCAGTAGATCCATCAGCCTAAGAGCCCTTAGCAACGCCGGACACACCGGCTATAAGACCATGCCTACAGACTCCCAGGCTTACGAATTAACGCTGATTCCCACTACCCATGGCTACAATAAGAAAGTCTACATGTCTGTTATATAATATTACACAAGTCTATAATGATATGCATTTGTTGCCTTCTTTGTTCTCAATTCTGTAACATTTAATTTTTATGCTGAGTCAGAATTAAAGAATTTAAATTGGGGGTTGGTTTTGCTCTCTTTGGCTATCAATTTCTCATTTTCTAGTTTAGCCACACTAATTGCATTTTGTATAAATTGCTGTCTTTTAATAGAATTCCCCCAATTTGTCCAATTTATATAATTTAAATGCCCTTTTAAATCTCTTTGTTTATTTTCTCACTAAGCCAAATTGGTTTCAAGTTGTTTCTTTTATTTATTACCCAATGCTACACAGTGAGAAATGTACCAAATATTAATATATAAATATTAATTAAGATATTACATTCATCCTTAGTGTTTTTCTCACTAAATATTTTATACCAGTCAATAAGTTGTAAAGCTGCCCTTAAAATTATGTCTTAGAATACACCCATGCGCTTTTTTTTTTTTAGTTTATTTCAAAAGATGACCACTATTTTCCAAGTGCTCCCCTACTTAAATGTTGGTCAAAAGATCAACAAGCACCTTTTCTAGTTGGCACTTATTACAGTTGCGGCATGAAGGTGTCTTATAACAAATTTAAAAATCTGATTTCCCTTGCTGAATTATTAGTCCCTTTATCCCAATTTATGTTCAGGTAATTAAAATCTCCAATAATTAACGTGTTACCCAGATGTCTAGCTTTCCCAATTTGCTTTAACATCTGTTCTTCCTCATCAATACTAACATTAGGTGGCTTATAAGTTATCCCAACCAATAATTTAAGTCCCTTCTTTTGTCCAAGCAGAGATCTGCCCAGAATGTTTTTTATTACTATTACATACCTCCTGTGTTCTGATCTTGCCTTTCCCTTGTACTAAGCTAAAGCCCAACGCCTGTCCTATCTCACTTTTGTAGATTTCTATGTCCCTCTCCCCTACCACTAGTTTAAAATCTCATCCAACATTCTAGCCATCCTGCTCCCCCAGCACTGAAGACCCTCTTCCATTTAAGTGCTCTAAAAGCCAAAATCCTCTTTCCCAAACCATGACTTTAGCCATGCATTAACCGCCCTCCTTAGCCACTGCGCCTCCAGCCCTCCTCAGACACTCGGGCACTCTGCCTCCGGCCCTCCTCGGGCACTCTGCCTCCGGCCCTCCTCAGGGCACTCTGCCTCCGGCCCTCCTCGGGCACTCTGCCTCCGGCCCTCCTCGGGCACTCTGCCTCCGGCCCTCCTCAGGCACTCTGCCTCCGGCCCTCCTCAGGCACTCTGCCTCCGGCCCTCCTCAGGCACTCTGCCTCCGGCCCTCCTCAGGCACTCTGCCTCCGGCCCTCCTCAGGCACTCTGCCTCCGGCCCTCCTCAGGCACTCTGCCTCCGGCCCTCCTCAGGCACTCTGCCTCCGGCCCTCCTCAGACACTCTGCCTCCGGCCCTCCTCAGACACTCTGCCTCCGGCCCTCCTCAGACACTCAGGCACTCTGCCTCCAGCCCTCCTCAGTCACTCAGCCTCCAGCCCTCCTCAGACACTCTGCCTCCAGCCCTCCTCAGACACTCTGCCTCCAGCCCTCCTCAGACACTCAGCCTCCAGCCCTCCTCAGACACTCTGCCTCCAGCCCTCCTCAGACACTCAGACACTCTGCCTCCGGCCCTCCTCAGGCACTCTGCCTCCGGCCCTCCTCAGGCACTCTGCCTCCGGCCCTCCTCAGACACTCTGCCTCCGGCCCTCCTCAGACACTCTGCCTCCGGCCCTCCTCAGACACTCTGCCTCCGGCCCTCCTCAGACACTCTGCCTCCGGCCCTCCTCAGACACTCTGCCTCCGGCCCTCCTCAGACACTCTGCCTCCGGCCCTCCTCAGACACTCTGCCTCCAGCCCTCCTCAGACACTCTGCCTCCGGCCCTCCTCAGACACTCTGCCTCCGGCCCTCCTCAGACACTCAGGCACTCTGCCTCCAGCCCTCCTCAGTCACTCAGCCTCCAGCCCTCCTCAGACACTCTGCCTCCAGCCCTCCTCAGACACTCTGCCTCCAGCCCTCCTCAGACACTCAGCCTCCAGCCCTCCTCAGACACTCTGCCTCCAGCCCTCCTCAGACACTCAGACACTCGGCCTCCAGCCCTCCTCAGTCACTCTGCCTCCAGCCCTCCTCAGTCACTCAGCCTCCAGCCCTCCTCAGTCACTCAGCCTCCAGCCCTCCTCAGACACTCTGCCTCCAGCCCTCCTCAGTCACTCTGCCTCCAGCCCTCCTCAGACACTCTGCCTCCAGCCCTCCTCAGTCACTCTGCCTCCAGCCCTCCTCAGACACTCTGCCTCCGGCCCTCCTCAGGCACTCTGCCTCCGGCCCTCCTCAGGCACTCTGCCTCCGGCCCTCCTCAGGCACTCTGCCTCCGGCCCTCCTCAGGCACTCTGCCTCCGGCCCTCCTCAGGCACTCTGCCTCCGGCCCTCCTCAGGCACTCTGCCTCCGGCCCTCCTCAGGCACTCTGCCTCCGGCCCTCCTCAGGCACTCTGCCTCCGGCCCTCCTCAGACACTCTGCCTCCGGCCCTCCTCAGACACTCAGGCACTCTGCCTCCAGCCCTCCTCAGTCACTCAGCCTCCAGCCCTCCTCAGACACTCTGCCTCCAGCCCTCCTCAGACACTCTGCCTCCAGCCCTCCTCAGACACTCAGCCTCCAGCCCTCCTCAGACACTCTGCCTCCAGCCCTCCTCAGACACTC